TTTTGAATATTAATAATCTCCAGCGGGTTAAGGACATTGGTGAAGATATAGTCTTCGGGGTACACATTTCCTCTTCTTGCTACAAAATTTGGGGGCAAAGGGCCAACAATATAGTGCGGGCGGTCATAGCCTGGGGCAAGACCGAGAACACGGGTGGGTCTGAGAAATCGTTCGCGCGTATAGGCACGATTCTGCCTCCACAGTAAGTATGTTATATCAGTAGGATTAGTCTGTATATAGAGTGGCCGACCCATCAATTGGGCAAGGCTGGGGTGCAGTCTCCTAACTATATCCTCTGAGTCTTCCCATCCTTCTGGTGAGGCAGGGCGCGGAGTGTTCTGTTAACATATCATCCAAATTGATAGCCCAAAGCTAAAATGCCTCATCAAGGTTAATCTTGGACATTCCTACATCACCAGAATAAACGTGAGATTTTACAGAAAAAGACTAATGTCGCAAATAAATATTTATCTTTTTAAAACCAATGCTCTGATATCATCTTTGTCACGACCCAACCCCAAGGACTTAAGGCTGGAATCGCAATTTACTAATTAATTCTAATTTTAATAAATTAAATGGCGCAGGTGGAGGCAAAATGGAAGTAAGAAAGTAATTAAACGCAAAAATTAATTCCATTCTATTATTTTGATAAAAGAAAATACGTCTGTAGGGCTTTTATTTATTTATTTTTATTATGCAATAATTGGCCCTCAGTAAAAATAAAAGGAAGAAAAGGAAAAAAATAAAAAAAACAAAATAATAGATCAGCATCAATTCTTGTTCAGGTTCCACTACATGAGGTTATGAGTTTTTCTTACATCTCGTCACTTGAAAGGGTAACAGCTATAATCATACAGCGAAGTGAGAAATATTATGCCGGAAGTATAGGGAACACAAAATAACCATGGATAGTTAGTTAGGCTAAAACATTTACATAACTCAATTTGAATAAATAAATTATTCAAAGTGGCAGAAAACTGAAATACTGAAATTATGTAAATAAATAACTATAACTACGGTACATAACAGAACATAACAGATATCATAGAAGTGACAGTCAGAATAGAGGTCAATAGATCCATTGTAAACAGAAGACCACAAAGTGGCAAAACAGAGACTAATGGTTATTTAAGTCCCCCAAGACGTGGGACTCCCATGATGATTCTTACAAAACATAATTGTTTATAAGGTCATAGTCAAATACTTTCTAAAATTTAAACAAACACATCTATATGTTTCATTTTAAACAAATAAAGTTCAGAAATTAATCTACGTAATTGAAATATTAATATAATTTATAAAACATAACTTGTATAAAATAAATTATGGTAAGTCAAAACATATGTAAAATATTTTATGGTACCTCAAGGTATAATATAATTCACCTTAATATTGAGTCTTACTATTTCTCTCATATTTTTGCTGTATTCTCTTGCTACTATCTCTTTTTTTTTTTTGATCTTGGACTATTTTCACAGACCCCTCCCCACTTATATACACATTCCTTAGTGCTGACTCACCCTATCACGATGACCTCATGGTTGATGACTCACCTCCCCTATTTGCTTAGATGGCACAAATGGCCTAATTCTATCTCTCCAGGACAATTGCCAAATCTTCTCTCATTAATGGTTGATTTACTTAATCTTGAGGGAAATCTCTTTCATAATATATTTGATAAAGGTAAATTAATTTACGTATTGCTTTTTATTTAAATTTTTTTTATTATTTTGCCTTAATTTTACATTGACTCTAATTAATAAATTAAATTATACTTTATACCATACTATCATAATATTAATTATTTTGTTTTACTATTACAAATTATTTTACTATTACAAATTATTATTATTCTTATTAATAATTATAATTAATTATGTATTAATTAAATATTTTAAGTATCACAATCACTTTCTTTCCCACCACACTTTGCTCGATCTCTTACTCTTCTTTTCCTCTTCGACGTCCCCTGCCCTTTTACCTTTGCCTCTATCGCGAATTCTAACTTTAATCCTAACGCCATCAACTATCATTGCAATAAAGGGAAAGCCAAGAGAGAAGAGAAAAAAGATAAAATGTACTGAATTTACGTGTATATATATATATATATATATTGTATTTGGTAAATTTTTAAAAGTATTTTTTTTATATAAATATTATAATTTTTAAGTAAATTTATATTAGGTGTATCTACAAAATAAAAAAAATTATATAAAATGTTAAAAATTTCATCAAAAACAAAAAATATGGAAAATAAAAAATTTAATTTTTAGAAAAATAGTGTTAAACCAAATAAGGTGATTAATTTTTTTAATCTTTTTTCAAATGAGGGTTGCGTTGGTTTTGACATAAAATATTTTGGGTAAATTACAAACATTTCTTGAGGTTTACCTAAATTATAAATTATCCCGTGATTCTAAAAATTACATTATGTCATCTAAGATTTCTAATTTCATAACAAATAGGTATTTTTATTATTAAATTATCAAGTTAATTAACAGTTTTAATAATGTTAAAATTTTATTTCAATTAAAAATTCAGTTAATTTTATTATTGTATAGGTGAACAGTTGAAAATTTCACTTTTTCAATTAATTTTGTTGAATAAAAAATTCTGACAATGAGATATTTGTAATTTTTCAAATCTCAAGGTACAATTCATATTTTAAGCAAACCTCATGAGCTGTATTTGTAATTTACCCAAATATTTTACTCATTTTTCGTTATTTGGTTAAACAAAAAGCAAGCAAAATATTGTTTAAGAAAAATATATTTGTATCATTTTTTTTTTTATAAAAATGACTTACTTTTAAAAATTTCGCAAGTCAATTTTTACAAATTTAACTTTTGCTCATTATCTTTTCAACACATAGACTTTTAAAATATAAATATCTTAACTTACTAGAAATTCATAAATGATAATTTATCAAATCAAAATTTCTCTATTAGATAATAAAATATTTTTGTTTCAAATGTCAACTAAACTCTAAAAAACAAAAATATTTTTTCTATGTGAACTTAATTTACAAAGAAAATTATTTTTTATATAAAATATTTTATATGGAAACAAACAGAGCTGAGATATCATACCAATTTTTTAAAATACAATTTGAGACTCAAAACAGTAAACAAAAGTAATGTTAAAAACACAAAAACTAAACACAATCTTCTTACAAAAATGAATCCCACGTGTGCAGAACTCATAAATAAGAACTACATGCGAGACTCATCCTTTAAAAAAGAATTATGTGCTATTTTATTTTTAAGGATTATTTAAAATGATCTAAATAAATATATTTTTTGTCTTTTATAAAAAAATATACAAAAAAATTAAGAAATAATGTAATAAAAAAAATAAAAAAATAAAAAATATGTACTTATTTAAAATAACCAAACTTGACCTTAATTTACGTACATATAAATTACTCATAGATAAAAGGAACCTTATTTTTTGAATCCCCAAAGCACCCTTGAACCCATTTCCCGCCCTAAACAAAACCCCTAAAAAGAAAAAAGAAAAAAAAAGAAAAAGAAAAAAAAGTGAAGAAGTGATACTGTTGATGATCAGATGACGACGAGGAGCATGATGATAGTGCTGCTTCTCAATTGCTCTGACCCTCCAGTAGGCCCCACATCTCACAGCTATAAGCTAGACTTTAAAGAATCCATCTGTCCTCCAATACCACCCGCAAATCAATGGCATCACCCTCTCTCCCCACCACACCACCCCCCAAAAACCCACCCCCATAACCCAAATCCAAACTCCCCAATCACCAGATGCCCTCTCTCTCCTCTTCCTTCACGGTAGAGACAGGTGAAGGACCAGCCGTCCTCCACATCATCAGCGATCTAGTCTCTCTCCCTCCCCCCAACATTTTTTTTGAATACTCTCCACCACCGAAACTACGAACATGTCTTCGGCGCCACCACCGCTTGTGGCGGTCCTCGCCCTCTTGTTCATAACTCCGGTGATCGGGTGGCGGCCATGGCCCAATCAGAAAATCAACTCCTCCGATCTCCAATTCGGGGGGTCGAAGAAGTTCGAGGGATCCTCTGAGTTCGTCCACATGAAGTACCACATGGGACCGGTCCTGACCGCCAATATCACCGTCCACACCGTCTGGTACGGCACGTGGCAGAATCGCCAGAAGCGGATCATCCGCGAGTTCATTAACTCCATCTCAGCCCTAGATTCCAAGCACCCCTCCGTCTCCGGCTGGTGGAAAACCGTCCAGCTCTACACTGACCAGACCGGTTCAAACATCTCTCGCGCGGTCCGACTCGGCGAAGAGAAGAACGACCGGTTCTACTCTCACGGCAAGTCCCTCACGCGCCTCTCTATTCAGTCCGTGATAAAGAGCGCCGTCACAGCTTCCACGCGCCCTCTCCCTATCAACGCCAAGAGTGGGCTCTACCTACTCCTCACCTCCGATGACGTGTACGTCCAGGATTTCTGCCAGAATGTGTGTGGTTTCCACTACTTCACCTTCCCTTCCATCGTGGGCTACACGCTACCGTACGCCTGGGTGGGCAACTCCGCTAAGCTGTGCCCTGGGACGTGCGCCTACCCCTTCGCCGTACCAGATTATATCCCGGGGCTGAAGCCGCTAAAGTCACCCAACGGTGATATAGGAGTGGATGGGATGATCAGTGTGATGGGGCACGAGTTGGCCGAATTGGCAACGAACCCATTGGTGAACGCGTGGTACGCTGGTGGAGACCCAGTGTTTCCGGTGGAGATTGCTGATCTCTGTGAGGGTATTTACGGAACTGGGGGTGGGGGTTCCTACACGGGCCAGATGATGAACGGCGCAGATGGTGCCACGTATAACATGAATGGGATCAGACGGAGGTTCTTGGTTCAGTGGGTTTGGAACCATGTGTTGAGTTACTGCACTGGCCCTAATGCCCTTGATCAGTAATTTTTTTTCTTTTCTTTTCTTTTCTTTTCTCTGTTATTGGGTTGATTGTGTTCCTTAGTTGGAATTTGGTTTTTGTCTTTTTTCTTTTCTTTGTTTTTGTGGGTTGGGTTGGGATGGGTTGGTTTTTTTTTTTTTTTTTAAAATGAGTTTGTTGATGGAGATAATTAGTTAAGTTAGTTGAGTTTGTTTAAAACTGTAATAACTATTTGGTATACTAATATTTGTATACACGTATATTTATTGCTAAAAAAGGTATTGAGGGGGATAGGAAATTGATTGTGCGCCCCAACAATAACAAATTGTGTCTTTTTTTTATCCCCCCAAAAAAATGGCCATATACCCTTGTTATTGGGCAGTGAGCAATGTTCCGAAAGGATTTGTGTCTGACCTTTTGTTCTCATGTGTCCTGTCTCTATTATATGATTTAAATCTTTAATTTTAATCCTATGATAAATTAAATTTAGAATAAAAAAAATGAAAATAGCGTGAGATAGAGAATTATATGTTCATTATAATCATGTTTGGCAAAAATTGTGCATAAAAAATAAAAATATATAGGATAAATTACAAATATATCCCTTCACTTCACATTTAAGTGATTGTTTTTGTGGTTTTAAAAATTACAATTCTGTTATTATTATTGTCAGAATTTTTTATTTAAAGAAATTATTCAAAAAAAATGAAATTTATAATTATTTTTTTACACAATAACAAATTGTGTCTTTTTTTTTTCTCTCTTTTTTTTATTTTATTTTTTATACCCCCAAAAAAATGGTCATATACCCTTATTATTGGGCAGTGAGCAATGTTCGGAAAGGATTTTGTGTCTGACCTTTTGTTCTCATGTGTCCCGTCTCTGTTATATGATTTAAATGTTTAATTTTAATCCTATGATAAATAAAATTTAGAATAAAAAAATTTAAAATAGAGTGGGATAGAGAATTATATGTGCACTGTAATCATGTTTGGCAAAAATTGTGCATAAAAAAAAAAAAAAAGATAAATTATAAATATATCTCTTAAATTTAGGGGTGGCGCGGGTCGGTTGCGGTTACGGAACTTCTAATCCGTCATCTGTCCGTTAGATTAGTAGATTAGAGAAAATCAATCCGCATCCGTCTGCTAATCCGGCGGATGTGGATTGAGCGGATTGATGGTTTGGCGGATGGATGCGAATCGGTTTTGGCGGTTTGAAATTTTATAAATTTTTAACATAATTCAATTTGTGTATTTCTCCAAAAAAGTAAAAAAATAAAATATTACAGTCAATGATTTAAAAAAGTATTACAATTATTGCATGCATCATTCAAAGAAAGAAAGTTTAAAACTTTAGAATATCACAATTACTACATGCTTTATCCACATATTACAATCACAGTATGCCTCATCCACATAAAGTATTACAATCTGTGATTTTTAAAATATAAAAAGAATTCAAACTACCAAAACTATGAACAGAGTAATAGTAGAGATTGTGTATGTCTCTGTATTGTTACATTTATATATGTTTTTGAAAACAAAAACCAACCAGTATATATCATATTTTTTATTTATTACTTTTAGAGTTTGATTTAAAAACAAAAAAATATAGATAAATAATACTTTTATTTTTTTCAATTCAAAAAATATATTCAAATTGAAAATTTATTTTCAACAGAATATTTAAACTTTTTTTCAATTGAAAATATAAACAAAACATTTAAACAAATTGAAAATACAAAATCTTATAAATTAGTGAGGGTGCTCGCGGTTTGGCGGTTCGGTTGCGGCCAAAGAAACCTCAAATCTGCCATCCGCCCGCCAAATTGGCAGATTAGAGAAAATTAATTCGCAACCGTCCGCTCGTCATCACGCATCCGTCTAAAATACGGCGGATCGGTTCAGTTCGATCGATTTTGACGGATCGGTATTGAGAGGGTAATTTATGTGAAAATTGGGCCGAGCTGGGTAATGGGCCGTTATGAGCCGCAATACAAAGGGCCGAGTAAAATGGTCATGTAAGTTACTCCGGTCGTGTGGATATTTTGAAGATAGTCCGGTCCTAAGGCCGTGAAGCTAGTCCGGTCTGACAGAAGATCGAAGTTAGATCGGTCTAACGGTACTTTGGAGTTAGACCGGTCTTGGAGTTACACCGGTCATGACAAGTTAGTTCGGTCTAACCATGCCATGGGTTGTGTAGGAGAAGCTGATGTAAGAGCAGTAAAAGGAAGAGCTAGTTCGGCTTATTCTGCGGCTATGCATAGTCATGTTTACTTCGGTCATATTGAAGTTCGGCCATGATAAAACCATCTCATTTGGTTTAAGCAGTGAGGGGGGTGTCGAAGGATAAACATTATCTTTCAGGAGTATGAATCCTAGGAGGACTCTGTATGGAGAAGTAAAAGTCCTACTAGGATTGTGGCACACGGAACCTATAAAAACTCACAACATCACCTTTGGAAAGGTAACACATAACTTTACTTTCTGAATACACAGAATTTTTGTTTATTTGTCAAGCTTACTGACTTAGGCATCGGAGAGGTTTCCGGCACACACCCGCCGGCTAGCTCACGTTTGTGTTTTCAGGTGATAAAGCGACGACGTACAGAGGAGCGCAGACTTGATCAACAGGATTATACGAGAAGGTTTATTTCTTTCTCGGCCATGATAAAACCATCTCACTTGGTTTAAGCAGTGAGGGGGGTGTTGAAGGATAAGCATTATCTTTCAGGAGTATGAATCCTAGGAGGACTCGGTATGGAGAAGTAAAAGTCCTACTAGGATTGTGCCACACGGAACCTATAAAAACTCACAACATCACATTTGGAGAGGTAACACATAACTTTGCTTTCTGAATACACAGAATTTTTGTTTATTTGTCAAGCTTACTGACTTAGGCATCGGAGAGGTTTCCGGCACACACTCGCCGGCTAGCTCACGTTTGTGTTTTCAGGTGATAAAGCGACGACGTACAGAGGAGCGCAGACTTGATCAACAGGATTATACGAAAAGGTTTATTTCTTTCCCGTATAATTGGCGCCGTCTGTGGGAAATTCACAAAGAGCAAAACCTCTTGATCAAGTTTTCCTCTCTAGTTGAAAGCAATGGCGCACAACGAAGAATTACCACAGTCCGCCATCGACGGGCAAACACCAGAGGGGGGGCCAGGCGTGAAGGATTACCTTCTATCCCTCCCATGGCGGACTTGGAGCCCCAATGACACAACGCCAGGAGAGATACTAGGGGGAGGCGGACTCACAGCCCCCGTCGCTCTCATTCACAAAGTCCTGACAAGCAAAGGCGGAGGATTGATCCTCAAGTTCTGAAGGACCGCGTGAAGGAGCAAGACGAATTAATAAGGAAGATGGCGGCCGACATAGAGGCCTTGAAACGCCAGATGAAGGAAAAAAGAGTGGCGACAGGAGAGGGGCGCAAAAACAAGACGCCCTCTCGCCGCTCAGAAGACCATGGAAGGCATTCAACGCCATCACAAGCAGAAAGTAGAAGCCTCAGTACAGGCAGTACTCAGTTTGGAACCTCCAGAACTCGTTACTCCAGGTCTGAGAGAACGAGATCATTAAGGTCTTACACTGAAGGAAGTACCTACCGACCCTCACACTCGCACCAAACATCATCCAAACAGACGGAGTTGCCCAAATCATCCGATTTGCGGATCATGTTAGAAGAAAAGGCACGATGGAAGGAGGACACCAGGGCGCGCGACCCTCGCAGAGTTTCTGCCCTTCAACGATTGGCTCCTCGATCGCATGGAAGCGTCGAGGTTGGAATGCCATTACCACACCCTACCTACGAACCAACGGACAAGGCATTAGCAAGGCTGCAAATCTCGCTGTTCGTTCCGGCAATCGAAAACGCACCCCTACCTACTGGCTTCCTTCAGCCCAAATTCACTACGTACGAGGGAAAGACGGACCCCTATATTCACCTAAGCCACTTCCGTCAGGTTATGGCGGTATATCGACGAAACGAAGCTCTAATGTGCATCATTTTCCCGTCAAGCCTTGGCGATCTAGGCTTGACTTGGTTTGAAAAACTTCCAGAAGGCAGCATAGCCTCCTGGGTGCAATTGGCAGAGACGTTTGTCACAAGGTTCAGAACAAACACTAAAACCCCGGTGGAGATTGACCAGTTACTCTCCATCGACATGGGTGAAAAAGAAACGCTAAGGTCCTACAATAGTCGCTATTGGGAGACATTCAACCAAATTGGCGACTGCCCCACCAATCTCGCCATTGCACAGTACAAAAGAGGCCTTCCAGTCGGAAATAGACTAAGGGACTCAATCACCATGACACCACCCCTCATCATGGAAGCCTTGATGGAAAGAGTGCATCAGCACATTAGGGTAGAAGAAGATGGCGCACGTGCCAAAACAAAATCTGGCACGACCACAGTACCAGAAAAGAAGACCTCGGCAAGGGTCAATGCAGTAGATCGACAGAATAGAAACAGACGTGGCAGGTGAGACAACGGAGAGGACCCAGATAAAAGATGGTTGAGGGTCCGCACGGCCATAACCACGGTATTCAAGAAACCGATCTACCGAATTCTAAGCGAAATAAGAGATGAGCCTTTCGTCAGATGGCCAGCCAAACTAGGGGAAGCACAGAAGGACTATAACGAAAGATCGCGATGCACCTTCCACAAAGAAAAGGGGCACCGCACTGAAAATTGTACACCATTGAAACAGCATTTAGAGGAGTTGGTGGCAGCCGGTCACCTGGATAAATACATTGAAGGAGGAACGCAACCAGCCCCCCAGGACTATAATAACCCTAACGGGATGCCGATTGATGCCCCACCTCAAGGCATTATCAATGTGATACATGGAGTCTTTGAACCTGAGCGTGTATGCGAGCTCAGGGGATCAATCAAAAAGGCTGAGCACTTTAGAGAGGTGCTGAGTGCCCAACCTGCCATCAAGAAGGGGAAGACAGAGACAACAAACGTCATGTCTTTTTCGGATAAAGACTTGGAACGGATATATTGCCCTCACAATGATGCCCTGGTCGTCACTCTCCGAGTCAAGGATTTTGACGTCAAGCGGATTCTGATTGATCAGGGTAGTTCATGTGAAAT